TTGGGTCAGGATTTGGGATTGGGATTTGGGATTTAGGACGGATTAAGGATGAGTTTAGGATCAGATTTAGGACCGACCTGCTCGGGGAACCCCCCGATGACGGCTCAGGGAAGGATTCGGCGTGGGATTTGGGATGGGATTTTGATGTGATTTGGGATGGGATCAGGATTTTGGGATTCAGGATGGATTTAGGATGGGTTTAAGACAGATTTAGGCTCAGATTTAGGACCGACCTGCTCCGGGAACCCTCCAATGACGGTGAGCTGCGCCCCTCGCTCGCAGCTCAGGGACGGATTTGGGGTTTGGGATGGGATTTGGGATTCAGGATGGATTTAGGATTCAGGATTTGGGATTTAGGATTAGGATTTGGGGTTTAGGATGAGTTTAGGCTCAGATTTAGTCCCGACCTGCTCCGGGAACCCCCCGATGACGGCGAGTTGAGCTCCTCTCTCCCGGCTCAGGGAAGGATTTGGGATTTGGGATGGGATTGGGATGGGATTGGGATGGGATTCAGGATTTAGGATGGGTTTAGGATGAGTTTAGGCTCAGATTTAGTCCCCACCTGCTCAGGGAACCCCCCGATGACGGCTCAGGGAAGGATTTGGGGTGGGATTTGGGGTTTGGGACGGGATTGGGATGGGATTTGGGATTCAGGATGGATTTAGGATTAGGATTTGGGGTTTAGGATGGATTTAGGCTCAGATTTAGTCCCGACCTGCTCGGGGAAGCCCCCAATGACCGCGAGTTGAGCCCCTCTCTCTCGGCAGCGCTCCCGCGCGCGCTCCCAGCTCGTCCGCGCCAAGGAGAAATAATAACAATTCCCGGAGAAATATTCCCAATCCCGGGAATCTGCGCCGCACGGGAACACTGCGGGAACGGCCCCAAAAATGCATTTATCCCAAAAAAACACAAAAAAAACATAAAAAACCACAAAAAACCACAGAAATCCCACCAAAAAACACAAAAAAACTCACAAAAACCCCACCAAAAAAATCACGAAAAACCCACAAAAAACACAAAAAAACCAAGAAAACCCCACAAAAATCCCACAAAAAAACCACAAAAACCCACAAAATACACAGAAAATCCACAAAAAGAACCACAAAAAATCACAAAAAAACCATAAAACCCCCCACAAAAAAACCACACAAAAACCCACAAAAAGCCCAGAAAAAAATCCACAAAAAAATCCACAAAAAACCCACAAAAAACCCACAAAAAACACAAAAAACCCCACAAAAAACACAAAAAAATCCCCACAAAAACCCCACAAAAATCCACAAAAAACCCATAAAAAACCCCAAAAAACCCCACCAAAAACCCCAAAAATCCCACAAAAACCCCACAGAATTTGGGGCATTTTGGAATTTTTCCCAGAAAAAAAATGAGCCGGATTTGGGATTTTTGGGAGCTTCATCCCAAAAAATTCAGCAAATTTTGGGATTTGGGGGATTTTTCACCCCAAAAATCCCCCAAATTTGGATTTTTCCCTGCCCTATGACCCCAAATTTTGGGATTTGGGGGATTTTTCATCCTCAAATTTTGGGATTTGGGGGATTTTTCATCCCCAAATTTTGGGATATTGGGATTTTTCTCACCCAAAAATCCCCAAATTTGGATTTCTCCCCCCTCCA